ATATATATATTATATATATATATTATATATATATATTATATTTTATATATTATATATATGTATATTATATATATATATATTATATATATATATATGTAAAATTATATATATGTATATTATATATATAATATATTATATATATGTATATTATATATATATATATTAATATATGTATATTATATATATATTTTTTAAATTATTTTATATATTATATAAAATTATATATTATATATAATATTATATTTATATATATTATATATATATATATATTATATATATATAAAATTATATATATATAATATATATATAATAATATAAAATATTTTATATATATATATATATATATATATATATATAATATATATATTAATATATATATATATATATGCAATAAGATCACAGTAAACAGGTGATTTCAGAATATGCAAAACAACCACTGTTAAAGAATGGAGAAGTTCCAAGCGTTTCGCGACTACTCACAGTATCAGGAACAATGAAAGAAAAAGCATCAAAGGAAGGTATATAAACGGGTAGCCCACACCTCACTATCAAAATCCCACAACAACGAAACACCTGGCGCGAGACAGCAGGCCCCGCCGACCGAACTAGGCAGGTCCTTCTTACAACCACCAACAACTATTCTATCAAGAAATAAGAAATTAAAAAAATTATTTGTCCAATGTATTATTAAATTCTTCCCAAATTCTATTAATTATAAATGGATCTAATTATAAATGGATCAGACCAAATTTTTAGCTCCATAGGATCAGTTTCATATAATTATCAAAAGCCTTGTTGATATTTGAGCCCTATTGTTGGCAAAATTTCTAACTTTAATGTTAAAAACAACATAGATTTAGTTGAAAAATTAAGCTCCTTGACTGACTTAAATGATTTTAACATGGTTAGTTTTGATGTTACTTCCTTGTTTACGATAGTTCCTGTTGATGATTTATTAAGTTTCTTATCTGAAGAACTCGTTAATTATGATTTACCATTGCCAGTTCCTACTATCATTAAACTTATTATACTTTGCATTGTTGATGCAAAATTTGTATTTAATGATAAGTTTTACACTCAGAAGTTTGGTATGTCAATGGGAAATCCTCTTTCACCTGTTCTTAGTAACCTATACATGGAATTTTTTGAAACAAGGCTGCTTAACACAATCCTCCCTAATAGAGCTAAATGGTTCAGATATGTTGATGATATTTTGTGTCTTATGCCCAAAAATGTAGATATACACCATTTCCTTGGCAAATTAAATAGCTTAGCCCATTCTATAAATTTTACTGTTGAATTTGAAGAAAATAACTCATTGCCTTTTCTAGATGTTTTAATTATTAAGGGTAATGAATTCAAATTTAAAATTTACAGAAAACCTCCCAATAACTATTCCTTTGTACATTATTATTCTTCAAATCATGATAGAGTTAAACTGTCTGTTTTCTCATCAATGTTCTTGAGAGCTTTTCGTATTTATAGACCAGAGTTCATGGATGAAGAAATATCCAAAATTTATGAAATAGCTAATGATCTGAATTACCCAAGAAACGTAATTGATAAATCTTTTAAAATTGCTAGAAATACTTTTTACAACCCAAAAAGGGACAACCAACTTTATTCATCTAAAAATATGTTGGTTCTCTCTTACCATGAAAACTTGGTTGATATGCCTTCTCTTCTTAAGACTTTTAACAACAAAGTTGTATTTAAAAATCTTGATACAGTAAAAAAAAACTTTTGATAAAGAATTCCCCCCAAAATGCTGACGGATGTGTCTATAAGATTCTTTGTAAAATTTGCGATAAAGTTTATTACGGTCAAACTGGCAAAAGTCTCGAACTAAGATTAAAACAACATAAATATAGCATTAGAACTGGACAAGATTCCAATGCTCTATTTATTTATGTGAGAGATTTTAACCATTCAATTGATTTTCAAAAAGTTGAGAAAGTTGTATCAAGCAAGTCCATGGTCGACAGGAATGTAATTGAATCTTGTTTCATAAAAAGCAGTTTTGACAATAATATGAATATTTCCTTTGGCTTATATAAATTAGATCCATTTATAATTAATAGAATTTGGGAGGAATTTAATAATACATTGGACAAATAATAAATCTTATTTTTTGGGAAGAATAGTTCGTGGGTTGCCTAAAGGACCTGTCTAGTTGGGCCAGCAGACCTGCTGCAGTGTTCTCCTTCTTATGAGTCGCGCATCAGGTGTTGCTTTGTTGTGGGATGTGATGGTGAAGTGTGGTCTAGACCCTTTATATGCCTTCCTTTTATGCATTACTTTTATTGTTCCTTGATAATGTGAGTAGTCATGAATGCGCTTGGAATTTTATTATTCTTCCACAGTTGTTGTTTTGCATATATATATATATATATATATATATATATAATATATATATATATATATATATATATATATTATATAAATATGGGGTAGGTTTAAAAATGTAGTGTTAGAGTATTCAGCAGAAGTTTGTGGTTACAGGAAAGTGGGTGCGGGAGGGAAGAGGAGCGATTGGTGGAATGATGATGTAAAGAGAGTAGTAAGGGAGAAAAAGTTAGCATATGAGAAGTTTTTACAAAGTAGAAGTGATGCAAGGAGGGAAGAGTATATGGAGAAAAAGAGAGAGGTTAAGAGAGTGGTGAAGCAATGTAAAAAGAGAGCAAATGAGAGAGTGGGTGAGATGTTATCAACAAATTTTGTTGAAAATAAGAAAAAGTTTTGGAGTGAGATTAACAAGTTAAGAAAGCCTAGAGAACAAATGGATTTGTCAGTTAAAAATAGGAGAGGAGAGTTATTAAATGGAGAGTTAGAGGTATTGGGAAGATGGAGGGAATATTTTGAGGAATTGTTAAATGTTGATGAAGATAGGGAAGCTGTGATTTCGTGTATAGGGCAAGGAGGAATAACATCTTGTAGGAGTGAGGAAGAGCCAGTTGTGAGTGTGGGGGAAGTTCGTGAGGCAGTAGGTAAAATGAAAGGGGGTAAGGCAGCCGGGATTGATGGATAAAGATAGAAATGTTAAAAGCAGGTGGGGATATAGTTTTGGAGTGGTTGGTGCAATTATTTAATAAATGTATGGAAGAGGGTAAGGTACCTAGGGATTGGCAGAGAGCATGCATAGTTCCTTTGTATAAAGGCAAAGGGGATAAAGAGAGTGCAAAAATTATAGGGGGATAAGTCTGCTGAATATACCTGGTAAAGTGTATGGTAGAGTTATTATTGAAAGAATTAAGAGTAAGACGGAGAATAGGATAGCAGATGAACAAGGAGGCTTTAGGAAAGGTAGGGGGTGTGTGGACCAGGTGTTTACAGTGAAACATATAAGTGAACAGTATTTAGATAAGGCTAAAGAGGTCTTTGTGGCATTTATGGATTTGGAAAAGGCGTATGACAGGGTGGATAGGGGGGCAATGTGGCAGATGTTGCAAGTGTATGGTGTAGGAGGTAGGTTACTGAAAGCAGTGAAGAGTTTTTACGAGGATAGTGAGGCTCAAGTTAGAGTATGTAGGAAAGAGGGAAATTATTTCCCAGTAAAAGTAGGCCTTAGACAAGGATGTGTGATGTCACCGTGGTTGTTTGGTATATTTATAGATGGGGTTGTAAGAGAAGTAAATGCGAGGGTCTTGATAAGAGGCGTGGAGTTAAAAGATAAAGAATCACACACAAAGTGGGAGTTGTCACAGCTGCTCTTTGCTGATGACACTGTGCTCTTGGGAGATTCTGAAGAGAAGTTGCAGAGATTGGTGGATGAATTTGGTAGGGTGTGCAAAAGAAGAAAATTAAAGGTGAATACAGGAAAGAGTAAGGTTATGAGGATAACAAAAAGATTAGGTGATGAAAGATTGAATATCAGATTGGAGGGAGAGAGTATGGAGGAGGTGAATGTATTCAGATATTTGGGAGTGGACGTGTCAGCGGATGGGTCTATGAAAGATGAGGTGAATCATAGAATTGATGAGGGAAAAAGAGTGAGTGGTGCACTTAGGAGTCTGTGGAGACAAAGAACTTTGTCCTTGGAGGCAAAGAAGGGAATGTATGAGAGTATAGTTTTACCAACGCTCTTATATGGGTGTGAAGCATGGGTGATGAATGTTGCAGCGAGGAGAAGGCTGGAGGCAGTGGAGATGTCATGTCTGAGGGCAATGTGTGGTGTGAATATAATGCAGAGAATTCGTAGTTTGGAAGTTAGGAGGAGGTGCGGGATTACCAAAACTGTTGTCCAGAGGGCTGAGGAAGGGTTGTTGAGGTGGTTCGGACATGTAGAGAGAATGGAGCGAAAACAGAATGACTTCAAGAGTGTATCAGTCTGTAGTGGAAGGAAGGCGGGGTAGGGGTCGGCCTAGGAAAGGTTGGAGAGAGGGGGTAAAGGAGGTTTTGTGTGCGAGGGGCTTGGACTTCCAGCAGGTATGCATGAGCGTGTTTGATAGGAGTGAATGGAGACAAATGGTTTTTAATACTTGACGTGCTGTTGGAGAGTGAGCAAAGTAACATTTATGAAGGGGTTCAGGGAAACCGGCAGGCCGGACTTGAGTCCTGGAGATGGGAAGTACAGTGCCTGCACTCTGAAGGAGGGGTGTTAATGTTGCAGTTTAAAAACTGTAGTGTAAAGCACCCTTCTGGCAAGACAGTGATGGAGTGAATGATGGTGAAAGTTTTTCTTTTTCGGGCCACCCTGCCTTGGTGGGAATCGGCCAGTGTGATAATAATAAATAATAAATAATATATATATATGGTTCAACGAAGCGCATTATGTCATTTTTATTTTAAAGGTGGACACCCATCCTGAATTACTTAAAAGAGAGAGAGACAAGCTAGTTAATGATGTAATCTTTTATTCCTTCTTTCTTTATTCATTACTATTTATTTACATCAGAAAGTTTTAAGAAAAATTCAATCTTACCGAGTTATTGCCTCTGTTTTTGTCTTATACTCTGCACTTGAATTTTTTGAAGTACTGTTATTTTGTCATTATTTTCCAGAATAACAATGACTCATCAGTCGAAGCTTCAATTCCTTATACAAGATTTAAAGTCATGTCAGGTAAAGTATAATTTTTTATTTTTGAAGATGGTCAGGGCATTTACTAGAAAATAAATTTACGAAATATTCTAACCTGAAATGTGCTAAGCTGTTCCTGTAACTACTAAGCCGTGAAGACAAAAATAAAATTCTTAATTAGACTATGGATTCCAGTTCCTCAGCTTAAGTGAGATAATCACCAAAATAATTTACAACATTTCCCAATGTATCAAACAACATAATATTAAAAAAAACATTGCTGAGCAATCTATATTTCTCACTACCCGCGAGTTCAACCCCCGTCAGTACGTGATTTGGCCTAAATCTATGTTAACATTGCTAAGAACAATCTCAGTCACATTCGAGGAGATTTACAAGGTATGTGATTCACATATTATTTGACTTTATGTTAAATACTTAGAAATTTATTTTATTAGACAAATCTCCGAGATTAAATTAATACAGAATATTAAACTGTATCACAGGTCCATATGTTTGAGCACACTTGACTTTAATGTGAGTGAGAACTTAATAAAGAGAAAATTATACGCAACTACGAATAAACTATAATCATATATGTTTAAACATAAATCTCCTCTAGTAATGAATACACTAGAAATATAATTTTAGCATAAATAGATATTAACCAAATGGTCAAACAGATTTTTGAACAACTGGTTACTAACAGTGTCATTAATGAGGCTCACCTCCTTACCTAGTTTTGTCCTGGTTTAAACTCTCTGATTTCTATTAATCCTATATATGTAATTAATAGATCCTGTACATTGATCACCGACTACATGGAACATTTAGGATGCTTCCCAGAGTGTGAAGATGTGGTACAATATTGTTCCACCTGGAAACATATATTATCAGTTATACTTCCCAGAGTGTGAAGATGTGGTACAATATTGTTCCACCTGGAAACATATATTATCAGCTATACTTCCCAGAGTGTGAAGATGTGGTACAATATTGTTCCATCTGGAAACATATATTATCAGCTATACTTCCCAGAGTGTGAAGATGTGGTACAATATTGTTCCACCTGGAAACATATATTATGCAGAGAATGCGTTCACACCAACAAAATTGTGGAAAATGTATTTTCCAGGAAAAATAGTGTATTTTTTTTGTAAATTAGTGTAATACATTGTATTTAATAAAATTAATGTCATAAAAAATGGGAAATTCTGCGCCTGCACAGAAGAGACTTGCCATTGTTGTTTGAATTTAGTAACAAACGTTAGTGAATAATGGGAAGAATTTTTGTGCTCTAGAGGTAAAATTGTTGGATGTGTATTCCTGCATAACTTGAGATATCAGGCGACTGGACAAGACAGCTCCATTAACCTCAGATAAGTTTATTTATGTTGTAACTCTGGCCAGTGTTATTTTCATGGATAGACAGTGAGGTTTTCTGAGTATGATACACATTAATCTCCAGTCAAATTGGTGAGTGATATTAAGATATATTCTCCTTCTATTATGTAAATGTGTGTATATATATAATCATTTATTAATTTTAATATACAGTCCACCAATTTTTAGATTTTCCAGAATTCCTGGTGTGTATGCATATTTCATTTGTAATTAATAGGTCTAGGGCAACTTGTGCACATGACAGTTGTAGGTATCGAAGGAGGACATTTTTGTGACCTAGGTGTCCCAAATTCCTTGTCTAAGTAACTTTGATAAATAATAATTATCTGTGTTACCATTTCCCCTCAAGGAAGGTTCCTTGATGTTGGTGAGGGGCTCTTGATTTAGGGAATTGGATCTGTGCTCCAGTTCCCCGAATTAAGCCTGAATGCCTTCCACATCCCCCCCCCAGGCGCTGTATAATCCTCCGGGCTTAGCGCTTCCCCTTGATTATAATAATAATAATGTGTTACCATTTACTGGTATGTACATTATGAGTTACATCCGTTGGTCTTTCTTGAACCGGATGTAATTAGTGAAGTCATTAATTAGTTAATTACTTAATAAGTATATGTGAAATGACAGATGGAGGTGGATGTTAAGTTCACAAATTTACTTAATGTGTAGTGGATTATAATTATTACAATATTAATTTGGATAAGCCAAGTGTGGCTAAGATTATATTAATGTGTATAATAATTTTGCTATGCCAAATTCTGGCAAGGATTTATATTAATTTGTATAATATTAATTTTGATAAGCCAATTCTGGCTAAGGTTTGTATTATGCACATTTAAAAATTATATATAATTTTCTTACATGTAATTGCTAAGCTCAAGTGTAGCTAGGATTTATTCAAAGGTAAGTTGTATCAGTGTTGTAAGTTGTAATCAGTGTTATTAACTAAGTTGAATTTAATACATTACATCATGGTTGAAAATGAGGAAATTAATGTAGAAGACAAACATATGGAATATAGAGCAAAGAAAGCATCACTGCAGGCTAGAAAAGGGCATGTAACAAAAGCATACAATAAGTGTTTGAATTAATGAATCAAGAAACTGTGAATCCGATGATTTAAAATTGTATTTAGATGCTTTAGGGAATAGATAGAATTCATACAAATTATATTACAACAATATGAAGAAGATTTGTTATAAACTGTGTAGATGAGACTGAAGTAGATCTTATGATTAATCAGTATTATGAATTAGAAGAAAAGATTCTTGTAAAAGCCAGGCTTTGAATAAATTAAAATGTGTAAACCAAGCGTTAATCAGTCTGCACAACAAATAAGATGTCTTTACCAAAACTCCCAGAATTATGTTTACCTGTATTTAATCCTGGAGAAAATTGGGAGAATTTGGTCAATTTTTATAGCAGTGTGCATGACAGAGTGACATAGCCTGTGTAACTATAATTATTTACCTCAAAGGACAGTAAGCGGGAGATGCTCACATACTCATACAAGCCTTTCCCAATGTAGATGACACTTACAAGGAAGCAATTGACTTGTTGAAGGTCACTTATGGTAATATAGAACAAAGTAGGTTGGATCTAGTGAATATCATTGTTAATTTAAAATCTCCAGATCACACTTACAAAGGTTTACAGCAGTTTAGAGTTAAACTGGAGAGCACTCAAAACTTTAAGTAATAAATATAATCTGAAGGAATCAGACTGGTTATTGAATGCCATAGTACAGAATAAATTAAGCTATAAAACACTTGAATGACTCTCGAATAAATATCACAAGGACTATTTTGGACTGGAGGAAATAAGACTAGGTCTACAAGAATTAATTGTTCAGTTGCAGACCAGCCAACCAACTCATTTTAAAGATGCAACACATAATAACTCTGAGGTATCTGTCAAGTTTCACAAAGGGAAAAATTATGCCAATGTTAATAATCAAAATTCATTTCCTAAAAAAAATTGCATAGGTACATATCAAGTAGCAGGAATCAGAAATAATGATTCTCCATAAGGTAAGAAGAATAAGTACCCTCCTAAGAGTAGCCCAGTTAATAAGAAACCAGTCAGAGAAAAGAGAGATTGTCTTTTCTGCAAGGTTACTCATTTTTCTAAGAATTGCAATGCATACAATTCATGGAATGATAAAGTTGAAAGATTGGAGGAACTTGACAGATGTATCAGGTGTTTAGGTAATCACAATGTAAAGGATTGTCATGCCAAATTAAACAACTGTTATCAATGTCACAAAGGAAGACACCATATAGTCATGTGTAAAGGTCTATACGATAATGTTGATAATAATGATAATGTTGACAATCCTGACACAACAGTGGCTAATGTAAAAATTGCTGCTAATGTTAATAATGATGGTTTTGCTGAAGTAGCCGTACCTGTGTTACAGGTAAAAATTGATGATAAAAGGCATAAATCAAAAAACCAGGGATCCCAGCGTACTTTCATAAAACGTAAATGTCTTGATGGTATGACAGTACAGATGGGAGATCCCACAACTTTTAAATTATCTGTTTTTCTCTCAATTGTATGACACTGTTTATGTAACTGTCAGGTTGGGCAATGAGAAAAAAAGTGTTAATGCAGTTATTGTAGATAGACTTCCAGAGAAAATATCTACAGTAGGGCTTAGTAAAGCTACAGAAAGACTCTCACATAATGTAAATTTAGCACCTTCTGGTGTAAGTGATGATTCTGTAGGTCCAATAAATATTTTGATAGGTAGTGACTATTATGCCTCCTTTGCAAAGGGTATGGTAAAGAAATGTGGTGTCACCCTTTTAAAGACTGAAGGAGGCCATGTAATGTATGGTAGGATTCCTCCTAGCAATAATTCATGACTAGAGGAAACTACAAATACCATAACTGTGTGTCTTACTTATGAAGTCGTGCCCCAGTATAATTCTTCCATAGAGGACGGTGTTGAACCAGTGCATAAATTGTGGGAATTAGACAGCATTGGAATAAATGTAAATGAAGGAAGTCCAGACGATTCTTTTACTCAGGAACAATGCCTGAGAGATGTAAAATTTGAATCTGGACAATACTGGGTACGACTTCCGTGGAGAATGAACCATCCAGAATTGCCCACTAATTACAGAATGGCATATGGACAGTTAAAGGCTCAGCTCCGTGAACTGAGTAAGACACCAGAATTGTTAACTGCCTATAATGATATAATTGCTGAACAATTAATTAATAAATTTATAGTAGAGGTACCTCCTGAGCAAGCCAAAATTTTTGATCACTATTTGCCACATCACGGAGTGAAGAAGGATTCTAAGACCACTCCTCTGAGGATTGTGTTTAATTGTAGTGCCGGGAGTAACAAAAATGTACCTAGTTTAAATAACTGTTTGATGACAGGTCCGTCGTTGCCGGAAAAATTAGGAGATATCTTATTAAATTTCAGGGTGAAGAATTATGCCTTTACTGCTGACATAAGTAAAGCTTTCCTAAGAGTGGGTTTACAAGAGGCTGACCGGGATTGTACCTGCTTCTTATTGCCTAAGAATCTTAGTGACCCACTTAGCCCTCTGAAAACCTTTCGCTTTAGGAGTGTATTATTTGGTGCTACATCCAGTCCGTTCCTACTTCAAGCGACGATAAAT